GGCACGTAGGCAACAATATCTCCTACAGCGTCAACAAATGGAGGAAGAGCAGCAAAGGCTTGGGTTTCAAGATGACATGGATCAGTTTCAGGAGGAACAGGAGAATGTTCAACAGACTCTGGACCAGGTCAGAGATCCAGAGATTCCTCCTCACCTCAATGACCTCGTTGCTCGGGCTATAGAGGCTGGGGTAACAGCTGCACTTCGGAATCAGCCTCAGGTACAGCCGGCACCTGTACCAGCACCAATGGTTCAGACGGATTCTTGGGAAAAGGCTAGGAGCTCTTTCACAAAGGGGAGTCCACCTGTGTTCTCAGGCTCAACCGATGCGAGAGCAGCTCACCAGTGAAAACAGGACATTGAGCGTCATCTTCGTTTGGTTCAGTGCACGGAGGTTCAGAAGCAGATGCTTGCTACTTTCAAGCTAGTTGGGGATGCATTATAGTAGTGGGAGTCAGTTACCACCTCAGAGGAGAGGATGACATTGTATTATGATGAGTTCAGTGCTCGCTTTGATGAGAAATATTTTCCCTATGCAGTCAGGGCAGCTATGAAGACCGAGTTTCTAAGTCTGCAGTAGGGAAACATGACAGTGGCGGAGTATGAGCAGCAATTCACACGCTTGTCTCTCTTTGCACAGGAGGAGGTGGATACAGAGGAGAAGAAGCGCAACAGTTTTGTCAAGGGACTGATGTGGTCTATCAAGAGAGCTATTACAGGTAGTCCAGCTTATACTACCTATGCTCAGGTGGTAGACGCCGCTCTACAACAGTATCAGTTGACTGTGGACATCAGACAGGCTCGTGGTGAGAAACGGGGAGATAAAGACTCTACTAATCAGTCAGCTGAAAAGGGGAATGGCAATAGTCACCGGCAGAATGACAAAGGCAAGTTCCAAGGACAACAGCCTTGGAAGAAGCACAAAGGTGGTTCAGATGCTCACCGGAATGGGGCACCTATTCAGAGGCAACAGAATGGGGGACCACAGGCAGGACAGGGTCAGCCATAGGCTAACCGACAGAGGAGGCCATTTGGTACTTTCCAGGGTAGTTGTTACACTTGTGGAGAGTATGGTCATACCACCAGGCAGTGTCCTAAAGCAGGACAAGGACAGGGATAGAGACAATATGTGCAGCAGGGACAGAGGGCGCCAATGCCTCTACCAGCTCCACAGGTTCCACGGATTCAGGGACAGACACATCTGGCTTTACCGGCATCGCCGCAGATTCAGGGACAGACACCACAGCAATTGCACTATGGCAGGGTGTATAACCCCATGCCACAGGATGTTCAGGCACCTCAGACTACTGAGGGTAAGTTTCTTATTCATGGTTTGCATGGACGTGTTTTATTTGATACGGGTGCTACACACTCATTTGTAGCTAGGACTTTTGTTGCTTTATCTGGGATGAGGACGAGGGTATGCACTAGACCTCAGGGTATTTCTACACCATTGGGTGATACAGCTATTATACATGAGAGTGATGGGCCTATGACACTAGATATTGGCAGACTCAGATTTCTAGCCAATCTATTGGTCCTGGACATGCACACTTATGATGTGATACTTGGGATGGATTGGTTGTCTCACTACCATGCCCAAGTTGTTTGTTTTGATAGATCTATTATTTTTACCATACCTGGTCAAGATATGTATGTAGTAGCTATGCCATGTTCTAAAGGGGGTGGTAGCACCTATTTGTTCCATGTGGAGGAGGAAAATGAGGAGGGGATTACTGTGTCATTGGATAACATACCGATTGTACAGGATTTCCCGGATGTATTTCAGGAGATTCTAGGGTTGCCACCTAGTCGCGAGATCGATTTTGTGATAGACTTAGCTCTAGGCACTGCGCCTATTGCTAGGGCACCCTATAAGATAGCACCGGTAGAGATGAGAGAGCTGAGGGATCAGATTCAGCAGTTACTCAGCCAGGGTTTTATTCGTAGGAGTACATCACCTTGGGGAGCACCGGTTCTGTTTGTAAAGAAGAAGGATGGTTCGCTTCGTCTGTGTATAGATTACAGGGAGTTGAACAAGGTTATGATTCGTAACAAGTATCCTTTGTCCAGGATTGATGACTTGTTTGATCAGTTAAGGGGAGCCACATATTTCTCCAAGATTGATCTGCGTTTTGGGTATTATCAGCTGAGGGTCAGGGAGCAGGATGTTCCTAAGACAGCATTTCTCACGCGATATGGTTCTTATGAGTTTCGAGTTATGCCGTTTGGGACGACTAATGCACCTGCAGTATTCATGGACTTAATGAATAGAGTCTTCCGGGCTTATTTGGATCAGTTTGTTATTGTCTTTATTGATGACATCTTGATCTATTCTCGGTCGGAGGACGATCATGCTAAACATCTTCGCATAATCTTGCAGACGCTTCGTGAGCACCAGTTATATGCCAAGTTCGAGAAGTGTGAATTTTGGCAGCGGGAGGTGAAATTTCTGGGTCACGTGGTGTCAGAAAAGGGGATAGCAGTGAATCCGGCCAAGGTTTCAGCGGTGGTTGAGTGGGGACAGCCTACATCACCTACTGAGATTCGGAGTTTTCTCGGTCTGGCAGGATATTACAGGAGATTCATCCAGGGGTTCTCTAAGATAGCAGGACCACTCACTCATCTGACCAAGAAGGGTGTACAGTTCGTGTGGGATGAACACTGTCAGCGAGCTTTTGATGAGCTGAAAAGGAAGCTGACTTCTGCACCGGTTCTGGCTACTCCGCAGAGCGGGATAGAATATCTTGTTTACACGGATGCTTCGTTGCAGGGTCTTGGATGTGTATTGATGCAGGAGGAGTGACCGATTTCTTATGGATCTCGGAAACTTAAGCCTCATGAGCTTAATTATCCAACACATGATTTGGAGTTGGCAGCAGTGGTCTTTGCTTTGCGTATTTGGAGGCATTATCTGTTGGGTGAGTCCTTCAGATTATTCAGTGATCACAAGAGTCTGCAGTACTTGTTCACTCAGCGGGAGCTAAATAGGAGACAGCGCAGGTGATTGGAGTTTGTAAAAGACTATCATTTTTCTATACAGTACCATCCAGGGAAAGCGAATGTAGTGGCGGATGCACTCAGTCACCGACCTATTGGTAGTCTTTCTGCTCTATTCACTACTGAGTGGAATGCTTTAAAGAGTGTGGATGAGTTATCGGATGCTTTTATGGCTTGCATGGTAGTTACACCTTCCATCATTCGCAAGGTTTTACAAGCACAACTCACCGATCAGCAGTGTGTCGACAAGGTCGCAGAGATAGCTTCTGGAGAGGTTCCATTCTACTATGTTGGGGCTGATGGAGGTTTAAGGTACAAGGGACGATTAGTGGTACCTTCTGCTAATAATTTGAGGAAGGATGTGATGACTGAGACTCATCACTCTGAGTTCTTTGTTCATCCAGGAGGCGATAAGATGTATCAAGATATGAAGCGGCAGTTTTGGTGGGTAGGTATGAAGAGGGACATTGCTCTTTTTGTTTCTCAATGTAGTACTTGTCAGATGGTTAAGATTGATCATCAGAGGCCGCCAGGAGCTCTACAGCCACTACCAATTTCGGAGTGGAAATTGGAGAGCATATCTATGGATTTTGTGGAAGGGTTGCCAAATTCTTTCAAGGGGCATAATTCCATATGGGTCATTGTGGATAGGTTGACCAAGTCAGCTCATTTCTTGCCTATTTGCACTGACTACACTTCGGAGCAGTTGGCGAGGCTTTACATTTCAGAGATTGTGAAGCTACATGGCATTCCATTGTCTATTATATCGGACAGGGATTCGAGCTTTGTATCTAGATTTTGGAAGAGTTTTCAGCAGGCTTTAGGTACGGAGTTACACCTTAGTACTGCTTATCATCCTCAGACTGACGGACAGACTGAGAGGGTGAATCAGATTATGGAAGATATGCTTCGGTCGTGTGTTCTTGATTTCAAGGGCTACTGGGAGGAATATTTGCCACTTGTGGAGTTTGCTTATAACAATAGTTTCCAGAAGACTATTGATATGGCACCATTTGAGGCATTGTACGGTCGACCGTGTCGGTCACCTGTTTGTTGGATGGAGGTTGGAGAGAATCGATTCTTAGGTCCTGAGTTCATCAAGGATACCTCTGAAAAGATTGCTCTTATTCGAGATCGCATGCGTACTGCCCAAAGTAGGCAGAAGAGCTATGCTGATCGTCGGCTTTGGAATTTCAGGTTGGGGATCAGGTTCTACTCAAAGTGTCTCCTATGAAGGGTGTTATGCGCTTTGGGAAGAAAGGGAAGTTGTCACCGCGATTTGTTGGTCCATTCATGATTACGGATCGCATTGGAGCTGTTGCTTATCGGTTGGCACTTCCGGATACTTTGGATCGCGTCCACAACATGTTTCATGTTTCCATGTTGCGGAAATTTCTTCCAGATGAGGATCGGTATCAGTATATCGATGTTGGGGAGATTGCGTTGCAACCAGATGCAACTTATTTAGAGCCACCGTGTCGTATTGTCGACCGACGAGATCAGATTCTTCGTAATAAGGTTATTCCTTTGGTTCGTGTTCAGTGGAGTCATCACAATGAGTCTGAGTCCACTTGGGAACGAGAGGATGTCATTCGCTCACGGTTTCCTGAAATATTGGAAGAAGGTAAGAGTGAATTCCGAGGACGGAATTCCTTTTGTTAGGGGGGAAGAATGTAATACTCCTAATTTTAAAAAGGATATTCCTGGTATTTAATGGTATTTAATTTATTATTTAAGTGCATTTTTTTTTATTATGTGTCACTATTTTTTTTATTAAGTGCTTAATTGTTTTCTTTTGTGGTGATTTAATTTATTTCTTTTGTGGTGATTTAATTTATTTAAATGATATTTATTTTTAGTTATTTGATTGGAATTACTTGTTAGTGTTTTAATTATTTAAGTGGCATTAATGGTTTAAGTGTAATTGGTTTAGTTATTTGATTGGAATTACTTGTTAGTGTTTTAATTATTTAATTGGCATGATTGGAATTACTTGTTAGTGGTCGAATGGCAATCACAATTACCTCCTCAGTTTGATTTGCCGGACTGTACCAATGTTGTAGGTTATGCGGTTGTAAATAATTTTCTCCTCATATCGGTTGCGGATTTCAATGGTAGAAATTCTCATAATGAATTTTTCTACTGGAATTTCTCTGGTTCTAATTTGAAGAACAGCGAGTGGGAGAAGATGATCTTGTCAAAAGACCAAAAAACTATATACCATCCCTTCTCTGCAAAGGCTGAGTTTATTGAAGGTGTCATTTATTTCTACAATAGAGGGTTGTATGCATACCGGGTTCGTTCCTGTTCTGACGAGAACAATCTACGTATATCTCCTCCTCAGCTAGTTGGATTTCCTGAGTTTGCAGCCCCACCTGGGGATTGGTCTGACTCCATCCATTTCTCGTTCTGCTTTTCATATACGGGGATTGGGAAAAGATTCTGTATCATCAAGACTGGAGACTCAGGTTGTACTCCCGATCAACAATACGTGGCCGTATGTGTAGTTGAAGTTTCTGATGATCTGCAGTGTCTAACTACCCTCACTTCCACAATCTGCCCGCTCAACATCAGTGGACTCGACAGTGACTTGATCCTCACTTCTTGCTTTGTCAGGTAAGTTCCATGCTTAGCTTAATTATGTGCCTATGTCTACTATCTCCTCTTTCTTTATTGTGTCATCAATTATACTAATACCAGAGGGTCTCTATTAATTAGAGGATGTAATATTCCTGCATGCTATTTGTATAAATTAATTATTGTCAGTCAATTTTAATTGCATTCTTTTGTTCAACAATCTATTCCTTATGGAATCGTACGCCTCTGAACTACTTTTTCAAGTATCTCCATAAAGTTTTTACTCTATGAAAACTTCTCTGAATCATGTCTAATGCATTGACATCATACTTGTAGGATGGAAGGTCATGCGTATTTCGTAAGAGCATTACAATCAGGAGGAGGCGGCGGAGGAGGAGGAGGAGGAGGAACCAGTGCCGGTCATGTTTAGGCACGTGCACGATGCAGGGAAATGTGTCGCTGAAGGAAGATCTCTCTTCAATGATCAGAGCTGAAAGAGCAATAGAGGGCATCCATTTCTCACGTGAAGACCCGCGATTGTAAATATGTTCAGGTTCATATGTTTTGATAGGAGTCTGTAGGTTGGAGTAAAAGTGAAAATGAAACATTCTGCCACATTTTTCAGATATTGTTCATATTAATGGAAGATAAAATTAAATTAACACGATTTTGTAACCTTTTTTCTTTTCTTTTCTTTCATTTATTTATTTATTTTTGTGTCGTGACAAATAACTCATTATGAGAACTTGAATCCTTCTGGGACGATTTTTAAATTGGTGATGACAACACTCACGAAGTTTAGCATGAAACTTGGCAGAAGGTGTCTGGGCTTGACTCCCTTTGCTGTGTACTTGTGAACCTTAGTTACAAGTCTCCCCCAGCTTTGATCCTAGCCTTTTGTATCTACGTAGGTACATTCACCAAATAAGGGGAGGAGTCAGAATTTTAGTTTGGGGAGCACAATATCAAGAAAAAAAATTATTTAAAAGATTAGAGGGAAAAAAAATTATAAAAAGGAAAAAAAAAAATGTAAGAAAAATGATAACTTAAAAATGAAACAATTAAAATTTAATTTAATAAGAAAAATTTAACTTTTTTTCAAGGAGTTTGAATAATAAATTAGGAAAAAATAAGAGATAATTTTAAAACTAATAATTTTAAGCGGAATTTGAAGAGTAAATTAGGATGTGAGACAAATAATCTATGAATCAGATCCATGTGAATTGGATCGAATCGCTATACCACAGATGGGTAATGGATTCAATTGAATCTGTATCTCACGAATTGGACGGATTTAAAATTCGATCTGATCCGTGAATACGATCAATTCAATCAGTGAGATATATATATATATATATATACACACACACACACACACACATATTCAAATAATGTATTAGTTAATATAGTTAGTTAATGATAATTTAAATATATGAATTGATGTTGATAAATTAAAATTTTAATCTATTGGGTCATGGTTAAAAAATAAACAATATTGGACAATTTAGGAAAAACCTTCATCCGCGAATTTGATCCCTCGTATTACGGATCCGATCTATTATCCCACGGAGCGGTGGCAGACAAAGATTTTTCAAATCCGTTGGGAGTGAATCTGATTAGGATTGATGCCTAATCTGATCCAATCCGTAGTCATCCTTATTAATTTCAGAGACACCCCGGAGGTTGGACAAATATCACATTGAAACACTTGTACAAAATTACTATCACTAAAATCCATTTTTTTTTTTTTCGACACAGTTAAAAAGGTGCGAAAATACAAATTTGCCCCTAATTTTTTAAATGCTTTTTATTCCAAAAAATCAACAATGTAAAATGACTATTTTGCTCTCACCTACCCACTTATCTCTTGAGATACCCCTCGAATCCGAGACACGGGTGATCAGGCCCAAGCCCGAACCTGAGGGAATATCAAACAATTAATATATAAACGAACACAGAATATAAAAAATTTAAGAAATAAACAAAGCTGAAAGAATTACTAATATAAAATACTCAATCATCAATGACCAAAATAATCCAACTCTCTAAAACCTCCAAGAGTACAATTCAGGAATCCCTCAAGTGGACCCCTAAATAAAAATCCCAACTGAAACTAAAAACAACTGGAAATAAAATCCAAATCCAAAACATGGAGTGAAATCCTACATCCTCGGTAGATTGAATGATCGTATCTGCTCAGCTGAACAAGCCCTAAGACTGGAACCGTCCGATACCTGAAAAATATAAGAGTGGGTCAAGCCCACGAACAAGTTCTATTCTAACTGCAATCCATACAGTGACCCGATACGCAGATACACCCTAGATATCTCAACAATAGCTATTTAGTCCATACATATATATATCCACACTAAGGGACATTCACTGGACTATATAGGGGGTTTCAACCTAAATAGAAGGCAACATGCAAAAACGCACCTAAGTGGGCATGAGTACCTAAGCCTAACAGGGTATACCTCAACCTATCATAGCCAGCTATGCATCCACTGCATATACGCACCTTAACCATCGATTTTGAGACTCAAGCTCATATCGTGGTACCATAATCATATATTTAAAGTCCATCCAAAACCAGAATATGTCATTCAATTCTTTGTTGATCTGACATAAGACTTATAATCCGGTTAGCCGCTCAACTTACTTAGTTGATCTGACTTAACCGCGAATAACAATAAATTCAGGTAGTCATTCAACTTACTCAGTCGATCTGACTTAACCACAACCAACAATTAATCCAGATAGTCACTCAACTTACTCTGTCGATCTGACTTAAATAAAATTAGGATTCAATATTTTACAATCCTTTCCTTTAATCCAATAGGGTAGGTCTTAGCATTTTGATCTAAACCATCCCTAGTATGCCATCGTCCTATACCGGTGCATACAATCCACAACATCCAGATAATTGGCGGAATTTAATATAATAATTTAGCAATTAAAGTCCAGAACCATGTAAATTACAAACCATAAATAATAGTATAGCAATTTAAGTCCAAAACCATAATCCAAGTAATTGCAGAATGGTGTTTAACATTTCAGCAATTCAAATCCAAACCTTAATCCATGTAATTGCAAAAAAGAATTTAGTATTTCAACAATTAAAATCCAGAATATGCATGGATCAAATCTAATACACAAATGACCTTATTGCACATCCGAAATAAGAATTATAATCCTACTATATTCCGATAAATTGCTAAAATTAAATTAAGTAATTAAACTCCTTCCATCCGTTAACAACATGCAAAGTTTAATACTTTTCTATTGTTCCATCTGTTAGCCTATAGGTATAATTTATGCCATATGAGGTTTTAATAATTCACAAAATTACATTCAAAACCCTCAGTACATTTAAACATTTCATACCAAACTAGTCCCAAATAGTGCCTAAAAGTCCAGATTTTACGAAAATACGAGAGCTTGTTCTTAAACCTGTAGAGCAGGCTCCAAACAACAATGGAGCAGGCTCCAATACTTCTTGGAGCCGGCTCTAGAGGGGTGGAGCCGCCTCTACATCCCCTAGAGCCGGCTCTATGATGAGCGCTGAAAAGTACACTTTTAAACCCCTTAAGCTTGAGTATTCTAGGACCGTTATCTATCTTATTTACTCGTTTTAGTTCTTATTTGTGTTTTTGTCTATTTCAGGTCAATAATGTTAAAATGAGCTAAAAATAGTTTCTTAAGGCCTTTTTGGAGTCAAATTAAGTCTTAGTGATGATCCGGAGCAAAAGAGGCTGATTTGGAGCAAAAGGAGGCCAATGCTGAAAAACTGCCAAGTTTGATCCATCCAACTTTTTCTCTGATCGATCCAACTTCTCTGATCGATTGAACAGTGCTGGCAGCAAGCTGTCTTACTCCGTGCGTGCCCAAAAGTCCACCTATCACATAGTACGGGATTAGATATTTTTGGGGCTATATTTCTGACTTAGTGACTAAGAAAAGGACCTTCTATATAAAGGGAAGAGACCCATTTGTAAAAAAGCTTTTTATTTTTTTATTTTTTACATTGTATTTTTTATTTCTCTCTCTAGCAAAGTTAGAGATTAGGGTTAGAAGAAAAGAGGGAAGTGGAGGCACATCTCAAGACCCATCTCTAGACCACTCTCTCTTCATCTCTAGAGCTTCAAAGAAGAAGAAAAAGAAGAGGAAGAAGAAGATGGAGCCATATTTGGAGCTTGATTCCATGACCGCATCTACCTCCTCCATGATTGGCTAGATCTACACTTAGGGCTTGGATGAGCCCTAAGTCTTGTGTAATCCAAACCCTTGTATTTCTATTTTTGGGGATTTATATATATTGTTGTGATTAGTGCTCTAGCCTTGTGAATTTAATGAATCTTCGTATATTTCTATGATTTCTATGGTTTAATTCTTATTATTAATTCTCTAGTTTATTTACATGTCTATGTGTGATTAAATTAGGAATTATTTCTTACATGATTCATATGGATTAATTCTTTCTATTGATTCTCTATTTTAATTACATGTTGTCTTATGTGTGATTATTTGGGGAATTGATCTCTACACTAGATTCTCTATGTTGGTTGCATGTCTATGTGTGATTAATTAAGGATTTAGTGATGGCTAAGCATGGGTTTTTATTGAATGGGTTTGTCAATTAATTTGATGGTTTATACTTATGCTTGATGGGTTGTTCTACAATTTAATTCATGCTTGTAGGTAGGTAGACAATCTATGCTAGCTTAGATATTCCATGGCTTATTATTGTAAATTTCATGATTCTCTAGATTGATGTGTGCTACAATTGTTGCTACTTAGATGGGTCATGCTTAAAATTGATGGGTTGTGCTACACTTAGTTTAGGTAGATAATTCATACATAAATTAGATGGTCTATGCTTAATATTGCAAATTCCATGATTCTCTATATTGATGTGTGCTACAATTGTTGCTACTTAGATGGGTCATGCTTAAAATTGATGGGTTGTGCTACACTTAGTTTAGGTAGATAATTCATACATAAATTAGATGGTCCATGCTTAATATTGCAATTGGTAGTCGCATTTTGTTCACAACAATGTATCCTAATGAATACAATGCACCCACATGCATTCAATTGCCACCATTTAGAGCACATCACTATGAAATTAAGCCACAAACCATTCAAATGCTTCCTAATTATCATGGACTTCCAAGTGAAGAACCTTACAAGCATTTGGATGAGTTTCTAGAAGTATGTTCCACCGTAAAATATACGGACATGCCGGAAGAGGTCTTAAGACTTAAACTTTTTCCATTCACCTTAAAAGATAAGGCCAAGTATTGGTTTAACAATCTTAGGCCTTTTTCAATCACTTATTGGGTAGAAATGCAACAAGAGTTCTTGAAGAAGTAGTATCCGGTTTTTAAGACCAATGTCATGAGAACCTCAATTCAAAAATTTTCACATGGGGATGGAGAAACGTTTCATGAGGCATGGGAACGCTTTAATGAATTGCTTAGGAAGTGTCCACTTCATGACATGCCCAAATGGCAATTAGTTCAATATTTCTTTGAGAGCTTATCAGACAATTACAAAGGCATGGTTGATGCTTCCATGGGTGGCTCATACATTGATAGGCATGAGGATGACGTGTGGTGTCTTTATGAGAGCATGAATGAAAATTCTTTGCATAGAACATTATCATCCAAGAATGGTAGAAATTCACAAGGTAGGAAGAGTGTTGGCTTACATCAAGTTGACCATTCAAATGAAATAGACGCCGAAATGAAGTCTTTATCTCAAAGATTT